AATGTGATGAAAGGTGATGAAGGAACTCACATTCGTACCACCAACCAAGTGATGAAAGCAACTCACCATTCATTCCACCAACCAGAAAACGAGTGGTACAACTTGTACATGTGAACTCCTAGCATTCACAAATAATAAAAAACCCTTAAGTTTTACAACTCAACTTGGGAATCACTTATGCCCAACAAGAGTTATAGTCACCAACAAAGTTTTATTGCAAGCCAACAACAACTTCAGTGAATGGCATACGAAGATCAAGCTATTCAGCCCTCTTGCATTCACTTCAGACATTTCTCCTTTGTAACAATGCAAACACTACAACTCATAGAAAGCTTCACGCACTCTTGATCAAGACAGTGTGAAGCAAAACCAATTTATGGTGCCAACAAGAGCTTCATCAATGGAGGGCAACCACAATTCTCAAAAGCTTCACACACTCTTGATCAAGACAGTGTGAAGCAAAACCAATTTATGGTGCCAACAAGAGCTTCATCAATGGAGGGCAACCACAATTATCAAAAGCTTCACACACTCTTGATCAAGATAGTGTGAAGCAAAACCAATTTATAGTGCCAACAAAAGCTTCATCAATGAAGGGCAACTACAACTCGTAGAAAGCTTCACACACTCTTAATCAAGATTGTTCGAAGCAAATTCAATTTATATGGTTCATCCAAACCTTTGACTATTACAAGGTGTGGCTTGCATCACAATCTCTTGCTCAATAGTGTGGAAGCAAAATTTGTATATGTTGTCTCTCCCACATTTTCAAATTTCTAATTTTCCAAAAAAAAAAAAAAGGAAATTGGGAAATTCAACAAAATTCTAGTTTTCCCAAAAAAAAAAAAAAAGTGAAATTCAACAAAGCTTCATCAATGGAAGACAACCACAAATTCTCAAAAGCTTCACATTATCTTGATCAAGATAGTGTGAAGCAAAACCAATTCATGGTACCCAACAAAAGCTTCATCAATGGAGGACAACTACAAATTCTCAAAAGCTTCACACTATCTTGATTAAGATAGTGTGAAGCAAAATCATTTCATGGTACCCAACAAAGCTTCACCACAAAAGCTTCACCAACAAAAGCTTCACCAACAAAAGCTTCATCAATGGAGGACAACTACAAATTCTCAAACGCTTCACACTATCTTGATCAAGATAGTGTGAAGCAAAATCAATTCATGGTACCCAACAAAGCTTCACCACAAAAGCTTCATCAATGGAGGACAACTACAAATTCTCTAAAGTTTCACACTATCTTGATCAAGATAGTATGAAGCAAAATCAATTCATGGTACCCTACAAAAGCTTGACCCACAAAAGCTTCACCCACCATAATAGCTTCACCTACAAAAGCTTCACCCATAAAAGCTTCACCCACAAAAGCTTCACCCACAAAAGATTCACCCACCACAAAAACTTGACCCACAAAAGCTTCACCCATAAAAGCTTCACCAACAAAAGCTTCACCCACAAAAGCTTCACCCACAAAAGCTTCACCCACCACAAAAGCTTGACCCACAAAAGCTTCACTACCACAAAAGCTTCACCCATAAAAGCTTCACCAACAAAAGCTTCACCCACCACAAAAGCTTCATCCACCACAAAAGCTTCACCTACAAAAGCTTCACCCACAAAAGATTTACCCACCACAAAAGCTTCACCAACAAAAGCTTTACCCACCACAAAAACTTCATCCACCACAAAAGCTTCACCTACAAAAGCTTCACCAACAAAAGCTTCACCCACAAAAGCTTCATCCACCACAAAAGCTTCACCTACAAAAGCTTCACCCATAAAAGATTCACCAACAAAAGCTTTACCCACCATAAAGGCTTCACCAACAAAAGCTTTACCCACCACAAAAGCTTCACCCACAAAAGCTTCACCTACAAAGCTTCAACACAAAAGCTTCACGTACAAAAGCTTCACACTATCTTGATCAAGATAGAGTGAAGCAAAATCAATTCATGATACCCAACAAAGCTTCACACTATCTTGATCAAGCTTTGTTGTTGATGATTCAAAATTGGGTTGCTAGGAATAACCAATTATTGGTTGCCACATCAATTGCTTTTTTATACTCCCACACTACATGAGTCAACCAAGAGGATTAGAGACCAAGACTCGTCATGAACAAGTGTGCAAGCTAAGGAAATAGCTCTACAGTCTAAAACAAGCACCATGAGCATGTTATAGAAAGATTCTAGAATTTCTCTCTGAAAGTGATTATTCTGTGGCACTTGCAGACTCCACTTTATTTGTCAAAGCTAATGGAGGAAAATTAGTTGTCGTACTGGTGTGGATGACCTAATCATCATTGGTGATGATAATATAAATTCATCGAACAAAGGAGAATTTTTCAGTTGGCTTCCAAATGAAATAACTTGATCAGCGTAAACACACTTGGGCTAGAGGTCGATCACACACAAGAAGGGATATTTCCGTGTCAACTGGAATATGTAAATATTTGTCACGGAAATTTAGGATGCTTGAATGCAAGCCAATATTAACACTTAAGGAACCCAATACCAAGATGTGTGCACATGAAGACAAGCTTAGAAGATGAAACAATGTATCTACAATTGGTAGGTAGTTTGACCTACTTGGCTCTGACTTGACCTGAAAGTTCTTACATAGTTGGTGTGATGAGTCGATACATGTAAAATTCAAAGAAGCCTCATCTAGAAGTAATTCGGCGAATATTGAGATATGTAAAGAGTACAACTGAATGTGATCTCTTGTACAAGAGGTGAAGGTTGTAAGATGGTTGACTATTGTGACGCAGATTTTGCAGGAGATCATGGCACCAGACGATCAACCATTGGTATGGCTTCAGAATTTGTTCTTAAGTAGTTTCATGATGCTGTAAGAGACTACCAACGAAATCTTTGTCAACTACAGAAGCAAAGTATAGGGCAACATCAATGGAAGCTAAAAAGATTCCATGGTTGGTACAGTTAATGAATTATCTACAACAACTAGTAGATTATTCAATGTCATATATACTACAACAATCAATTGGCTGTTCGTTTCACGGGTTATCCAGTTTTTCATGCGAGAACTAAACATGTGGAGATACACTACCATTTTATCACATAGAAGGTTCTACAAGAAGAAATTGAGATGCGCAGAATAAACCAGATGATCAAGTTGTGGACTTGTTCACAAAAGGTTTGAATACCGGCAAGTTCAAAATGTTTCGTCGTCAACTCAGCATCGTGAAAATAATGAGTTGGCGTTGAGGGGGAGTGTTAAAGATCAACACCAGCCAATTAAGCCCAACCCCTCATAAAAATCTTTTTGTGTTCTCTAGATAAATGTTAGAAGATTCTTTCATATGCATGCATGGATGCATATTCAACATGAAAAATTTCTATACAATTTTAGCAAAGGAAGTTAGTGGAACTAGCTAGATATTTCTAGCGTTGTGTTTCCATGCTTCTCCAAAGTTTCATCCATGCCAAGAAAAGGAGAAGACATCCACCCTATTTGAAACAACCAAGAAGTGAGTTATATTCTAAATGTGAGAGTGAGATATAAGGTTTTTGTGAGGAGTGTGAGTGTTCCAAAGTTTGTCTCTAGAAAGTCAGAGAGTGTCATATCTTTTAAATTGTGTCTTTGAGAGTTTGTGTGTTGTAAAATTTGTGAGTGTAATACAAGTAATTTGTTTACTTGTTTTGTCTCTCCAATACTTGTATACTCTAATTTTCTCAACATAGTCTCTCTCTAGAGGCAATTATTTTACTCTCTTTCCCCTCCCCATTTTTTTCTCCGCCCAATTTCATCACAACTCTCCCTTATTTTCTCCGTCAAATCTCACCACCTATGCCCATCATTTGCTAAAGTAACCTTCATTTTTCCATCAATTATTCATCTCTAGGGCGAAAATCAATACTGAATAGGTGGTCGCCCAAGAACTCTTCAAATCTTTGCTGCCATATTGAAATAGCGCAACCGGCAGATAGGCGAGCATCATAGATAGGAAGGGTCGAGAGGAAAGAGAACGCAAAAGCAAAAGTCAGTTTTAATAGTATTTTAAGTTTGACTTTTGCTATTTTCTCCCTCCATTTGGGCAACGTTTATCTAGCAATTGTTCATTTGGCTAATTTAGCATTGAACATAGCTAGGTTGTTGGAAGCAAAGTTTTCTCAATACTAATTTAACACTAAACATAGCTATTTAGCGTCAAACTTAGTATTGTAAGTTTAACTTCTGCTATTTTTTGCAACATAAAATGCAAATAAAAAAATAAAAACAATTTCGGAAATCAAACATGTGATGAAATATTTTGTTGTGCAAATGTTTAATGCACGAACATATTTCGTACTCAGAGCCGGCCCTGAGGGTGTGCAAGTGGTGTCTCAGCACAGGGCCCCTAATTCGGAAGGCCCCCGATCATGATTTAATTTTGCTTGTATAGATAGTATATATATTTATATTTGAAATGATATACCAAATTCTTCTCGCGGTTTAGTTATCTTCCGCGTCTTATTCATGGATAATGAACTAGGTTCGACTATATCCAGAGGCTTTTTTGTGTGTTTTATTTTCATTTCTTTTGTGTTTTAAAAGCATGAGTTGTGTTTTATTTTATTGTTATTTAAAGCATGGCGTTTCTTTTGTGTTTTATTTCAATTTTTTTGGTATTTAAAAGCATGAGTTGTGTTTGATTTTAATTTTCTTTTGTTATTTAAAGTATGGTGTTTCAACCCCAAAAATATAGGGATGTAAATAGATATCTAGCCACCATATTCTTATCTCAATTATATACAATCATAATTAAAATGTAAAAGAAAACATAGCAACCAAAATGTTAGACCCTCTATGGGGTTTTTTTTTTTGGGTATGCAAAAATAAGGAATTTCAAACCCAAAAACATAGGGATGCAAGTAGGTACCTAACCACAACACCAATCTTTTTTTTTATTTTTTACCTCAATTTATACATAATAATAAAAATTAAAATGTAAAAAAAGAAAAACGTATCAACCAAAATTATATACTTTTTAAAAGCCTCCTTTGGAGTCTCGCATAGGGCCCCAAAATCTCAGAGACAGCCCTGTTCGTACTGTAAAGTTTTTTTAGACGAAACGTTTTCGTCACCTGTAGATCATGGTCTTGATCTTGATCATGGTCTGCCCTTGATTTCTTATCCACAAACCCTAATCCCAAATCAGTACTCATCAACTTCCCCTTTTCATTGCTAGCAGTAGCAGGCCACTTCATATTCCTACCCTTTTTATTTGAGTGATCAAAGATTTTGAGGCATTTCTCAGTAATTTGTATAAGCAATTCTTCTTGGTTAACCACTTTGGACAAAATAGCAGTCTCCTTAGCAGTCATCTTATCTTGCAAACACTTGCTTTGCCTCACAAGCTTTCTCACTTTATCCGAATTAGGGGCCATGTGTTTGATCACAGCAGCCAAGGCATTTACATTCCATGCCTTTTTAAGATAAGGAGGAGCGACATGCTCTACAGAAAGCCCTTGGTCCCCCCACCACATCTCCTCCCCCGTGGGCCACCAAGGGGGAGCCAAACCCTTCTCCAGAGGGAACCTCCGCTGTGGCGGCATGCAGTGCTGCATCAGAGCAGAAAGAAGAAACCCCAAAGTAGTGTCTTGCAGTTCATGAAGCAAATGAGCATAAGAACCATGATCCAACTCACCTTGTTCAAAAATCAAAGCTGGCAGATGCTCGGATATTGCAATGGGGGCGTTTTGGTCAAATCTCACTTTGTCTTTCCACCACTCTCTTAAGCTATAAGAGGAGCCCGTCATTGGCTTTCCCTTCTCAGGCACAATCCCATACACAAAGCCCTTTGCTTTGCATATCTCCATGATTTTCACCATGTATTTCAGTATCGAATCTTGGGATCTTGCCATTTTCTTTCGACGAGACGCTTCTTGCTTTGCCAACGACTCTGCAGGTTCTTCTTCATCTTCACGGTCTTCTTCGTCCTCAATGATTTTTCCACTCTCTTTGAGATTTTGTAAGCAAATACGATCCTTCCACATTCGCTTCTTGAGCTCTTCGTAGCTGATGTGATCTTCAGATGCTTCCTCATCTTCTACAACTACCCCAACCCTTACAGTATCAACTTCTCCATGGAACTCTACCATAGTTGAAATATTCGCGTCTCTATTGATATGAAGACTGTGTAACTAAGTTAAGTCCATATAAAAACAACCAAGTCCAAAGGCGGTGAGAAACCAAATTGCCAAATTTTGAAACAACAATGTGAAAGCTTGAGGACAAGATTGGCATTAACGGGGTTGAGGGAAAATTTTGGGGGAGTCTGAAAATTTCAAGGAATTACGTGAGATTCTGAAGTAACAAGTTAATGGAGGGTGGTGCCGTACGCGGTGGATCTGTGTGTAGGTGCAGTCAATTTGTATATGTATATTTTTTTTTTCAAATATAAGTTTGCATGCATGTGGGACGCATGGTGTATCCATGGTTACCAAATTTGATTGCCGAGCTAAGATACTTATCCATTCCAAGATATATAAGTTGTCACTCCAACTTGAATGAATTAAATAATCTTCTACATCTTTTCATTCGAGTTGTAGAGTTGTTTTTAGGCCAATTTCAGATTCTGTGGACGTGGAATAGGCCTACGATGACATTGTGATTTGTGACGACGAAAGCAAGCTGCATCATCATGTTCAATCTCCAATCTCAAAGATTGAGACCATACATGCGTAAGAAATCGCTATGTAAAGAAACGAAAATTATGATGTGTTTGCCGTTTGGTTTGGATACAGGAATATATACACTTCGTCAACTGTCCTTGATATTGTTCATGTCCCGTAACTTCTCCACATTTTACACACTAATCGAATTTCAAACATGATATTCACTAGTAGGAAAAACAGCTTGCGAGATGATATTTTGCGCGACGACGAAAATTTTGTCGTTTGAAGTATGTTCGTGCAACAAAATTAGGAATTCGTCGCGCAAATGTTGAAAACTTTACGCAATGAAGGATTTTTTCGCACAAGGTATCTTTACTCAACGAATCAAACCCTTTGTCGCGCAAAGTCCTTCAAGTAAACGCGGGTAAGAAGTTTTTTGGCGCCAAATCATCGCGCAACAAAAAATTTCCCATGTAAAGATTTTCGTCATGCAAAAGGAATTTGAAATGGTCTGTGCACATTGAAGTCATTATATTTACTGTGTACTTACGAAGGGTTCATCACGCAAGGTTTTGGGACCAAGGTGCGCGACCAAATGTTTGTTGTATGTATAAACAACACAAGTGGCGAAGCCAGAAATTGACAGAGGGAGAGGCGAAAATTAAATGAGTAAAAGCAGTGGCGAAGTCATAAATTGTCTGACAATAAAAAAACAAATCGTTAGTGCAAATATGAACCCTAAAAAACTTGAGTTGTTTCTTTAAACAAATTCAATATTCAACAAAGACGGTAGTAATCTTGTGAAAACAAACCTGTCTTTTGCTCATCTTGTGGGCATCATCCTCCTGCCACTCTTGGTACATCGAGAAGAATTCCAATAGCAATTCCGAATCCACAATACTTATATTGTCAAAACTAATAAATACAAGCAACAATCTTGTAATAAAATATAAACTACGATAATTGAAAATTAAATAGTAACAATGATAAAGAAACGAGACTTCTCTTTTAGTCATGGATTATCACCTCGTTGGGCATGTTGTGTATTTGAATCTCGTCCACATGTCGAACTTCGCTATTCTCCATGAGTGAAGGGTTTGTGAAGCCCAATCGAAGATGAAGTTGGATTGGACCCAGATAAGTGGTCTGGCGCAGCACAAACCGATCCCTCGTTTGCCCAATACTTGATTAATCCTTTTAGTAACCCTTCATAGAATTCCACACACACATTCAGCTAAATCGACTACGCTACGAAATAACATTAAAAAAATCAAATTATAAACTAGGGTTGTACTTGAAGAAAAAAAAAAAAACAAAGCCCAACAAAAAAAAAACAAAAACAAAAACAACTCATAATTTATGTCTGAATTGGTGGACCTGCGTTACTTACATTTTGGGAAGAAGATGATTCGGGTCGTTGGCGCTCGATTTTGATTGGTGTCGCCGTTTGATTGGGGGGTTTTTCTTCAGTGTTGTGGACCCGGGACTGTTCCGTTCGAATATCAAAACCACACATGTAGGACTTCTGTTGGGCCTATTGGGTTGGGTTCGTTTGTTTTATGTGGAATGTGAAATCATTTCAATTCATTAACGTTTACATGTTGACAGGGAATATTAAATTATTTTAATTTTTTTTACCAAGATTAACACGACGTTGTTTTGGCCTAGATATTTCAAAAAAAAATTAGAACCTACGCAGCAGCAGAGAAGCCGGAGAACCAGTCGGGTTTGCATCACTTCCAATGGAACCAGTGGGGCGGAATGGCCGCTCCTGGACTTATTTCCAATGAGGGGAGGGTCGGGCGCCCCTCCTTTCCTTTGTACCTTTTCCCTTTTACCAACACTACAGTGTAGACTCTAGTGGTCTTTTTTTTTTCTTTAACTTGTGAGGGGAGGTTTTAATTTGGATTTACTTGTGTGACAAGTTCAATACCCCAGTACTATCACTAGTTCATTGTGTGGCTATTTGGGGCTTGAAATGTTAGATTTGGGCCAAGAAGAAATAAATCAAAATGGAGGGACGCACTTTTGGCCCAATGGTGATCTTTTAGGTCAAGTGACTTTATCAGCACAGGAATGGACAATTTGATTGAGTTCTAATGGAATTGGGATTACTAAGGGATCAAACTTAGCAGTGGCTTGGTTGAGTCTTGAATGAAGTGGAATTGTTAAGGTCAGGATATGTTTTTTATAAGATTCAAATCATTCCAAGAATCCAAACTTATGGTTGGTCAGATGGGGAGTGAATTAAATGCATAAACAGACTAGGTTCATAATCCTAGTTTAAGCCAAAGAGACCGAGACTAGAAAGAGACTTCGTTTCGGTACAAGTGGATTGATGAAATAACATCAAGGATATCTAGGTAGTTGCCGATGAGGCATAGCCCTAACAGGACTCTACTTCAGCAAGTTTGGTCATCATAAAATTCACCCTTATAAATAGAAGTAGTTCTGCAATGTACAGAGAACCTTCAACTTAACGCTTTACGCGAAACCCTCGCTCTACATGAAACCTTATCATACCCTGAGAAAAATACTAATGGTCATAGCCCCATGTCAACATACATTCAGTTTGGATAAATAGCATTGTGTTGGTAACTAGTGACATCAGTTTGGATTAACATCATTGGATGTGTAGAATCAGTTGGTTGAGAAGTATCGTTTGTTTGGATTAACAACACTACTTCAAGTTTGGTTGGTTACTCGCAAAGGGTATTTGATTTTTTCACCGAACAAGCTCACTTCATCAACTTTCTAGCAAAGTGAGGTGTTCTATAATTGGTTACTGCCATGTGCACTTCAGATTTCGACATTAATAGGCCGAACAACATTCACAATGAATACACTTATTTTCTTTTAGTATTTTTCTCCCTACAACCTCATAATGATTCGGTGTACATATATTTTCACAAATACAGTAGAAGTTGCCAAACCTGGTGTAGAAGATCTTGAACTTAGTAATGAATTGCATAACCTTGTCTTCATGTTCTAAAATACTAGCCTAAAAATGTTCCTTCCTCGGTCGCAGTTGCTTGGTGGAGAAGTCAACAGCACGTTTCGCCACCACACCACCACACTTATCTTGTTGCCTTGACCGAGCTCAGTAACGAGTTAGAACATCCACATAAATCAAACGACGTAGTTAGCTTAGTAGTTACTCGACGTGCACACTACGCAGGCTTTATAATTTCTAAGATCATCATTTTGACACGCTAGTGGGATCAAGTGCTAAAAAATGACGAAGTCCATGACCATGAAACCCGCTCTATCAAGAAGAAAACAATGACGGGGAAAACATCAACAAATCAGACATCTACAACCTGGAAATGTGCCATATAGCGTAGAACTAGCACATGATCTTCCTGCTTCCGTCACGCTAGATTTGCGGCATGCCAAAAGGTGAAAATAAATCTTGGCAACCAGAAATTAACTGCGATAGCTATCGCAATGACTACTAAGCGTACCAATTTTGGACCTCCAGAAGGGATGGTCAAGGAAGGCAACAATGAGGAAAATGAGGCCTCGAATGTACTTCCTAAAACCTTTATTCGGCCTAGGCTCGCCGAACACACCAGACATCTTGAACTTACATTGGAACGTGAGCTTGGTCTACTTAGGTATGGTTTGGGGTTGAGGTGTTTTAAAAACAGCTGGGAGAGTTTTTGGTGTTTGGTAAACACCCTAAATTAGCTTTTTTTTCAAAGTTTCAGATGAAAAAAAAAGCTAAAAAGTGGAAGCTGCAAAAAACAGCTTCAAAAAATGGCTTATTGTGGAAGTTGCCAATATTGCCCTCCTTTCTCCTTTCTTATTTCTCCTAATTCCTCTTAGGAGGAAGAATAACGTCGTGGCCAGACGACATGTACGGCGTGGCCAGAAATTTCAGAGGAGCTGCCTCCGGCAAGCATGTAGCGCCGATGTCGCTCGGGTTGAGTCCGAGTCCCCCGATTCCATTGGTGGTAAAGCTGTCGGGAGCAACTTACTGAAGGAAAGACTGGTGGTCCACGAGTGCAATCATTGAGCATGATAGAATCAATTCTGCAGCCAATTTTATCCTCAAAGTATGAATGATAAGCAAGAAGCCTTTCCACCATAATCTTTTCATCTTCCTCCGTTAGCTGCTCACCATCCATATACCTATCAGAGTGCAGAATCTCCTTGGCCAACTAAAAAGCGAGCTCAATGTTGTTTAAAATCTCTCGTTCCTTATCCTTCCACTTGCAGTAGTCAGGGTCGTCCCAGCGAGGGTACTTCGGCAGCTCCTTCATGCACAGCCTCTCAGCGGGGACCTCTCCACCGAAGACAATGGACTCTCCGGTTGAGTTGACTCACTCGCCTAACTACACCATGCCCTGTCGCTCTGGACCGCAAGCCCAAGGCCCATGAGTAGGTGGTGGACTCGCGCACAGAGGAACGAAATTGTACGCAGCAGCAACAGGTTCAGAGTCGCTATTCGCGTCATCGTCGTCATCTTATTGTTTGAGTTG